AAGATGAAACAAAGTCGTCTTAACCAAAAGTTTGTCAATAATGGTCATCATTGTCACTCCTCTTGTGCATTCAAGAAGAGGGCATAAGAGAAAGTTTATATTTTTATTGTTTTAGTCATTAGTTATTTATGTTAATTCAATTATTTTTATTTAATTAGAAGAAAGAAATAAGGATGAAACCAATATTCATTGACTTGGTCATCCGGACGCATAAAAGGCATAATGGATCTATCATCAATCCTTGGGCTGAAAACGTCATCGGAGCAGTGACTGAGAAGATTACACAACTTTCACAAGCAGTTCGCAGCGTCGACCCTTCCTCAGAATTGTCTTTGACCGAACAAGACAGATGTTATGTCCAGGTATAGATTCAATTTTAAATATACATATAATTTTTCTTATATATGTTATTATATAATTAATATATATATATATATATATATATATATATATATTTGTAGTCGCTTTCGACAAACAAGTGACATATACGGGCTTTGCAAAGAGATATACTTGAGGATTTCAGTGCAATTGTTCCTCCACATTTGCATTTCGATGTAAGTTGAGAACATAGGATCATCTCTGGAGCGTAATGTGGAAATGTAGAAAGAAATGCTTGAAGATCAACAAATGAAGGTATCTCATCTCGAGCAGATCGTGGAGGTGTTTCGAGGCGGCTGACCGATCCTTGCCACACCTCCTATGTAATTTATAATATTAATATGTAATATTATTTGAATTTTTATATAATGTTTTTTAAAATTTTAATTATTTTATTTTATATATTATTATATAAAAATATAAATGAAATATTTTTAAAATAAAATAAATATATTTTTTTAATTTTTTAAAATATATTCCATTGGGTATCATTGATAATTATCAATTTTTCATCCATTGAAAAATTCGTTAAATTTTTTCAGTTGGTATTTCTAACAGATTTCCGTTGGAACATTTGTTCAATGACCTAAGCGTTACTAATTTTCGTTAAAATTTTATTCAACAGATAATTTTCACTGAAATGTTGGTGAAAATATTTCTAACGGATTTTGATCGTTGAAATTCTATTGAATATTTCAATGAACCTTTGTTTTCAATACTAAATTGCAATGGATTTTATTCGTTAAAATTACCTTGTTCCAACCGATTTTAGATTATTTTCAACGGATATATCTACTGAAAATATTTTTTTTTTTGTAATGGTTGGCGAACGTAGATGGCTGAGTAAAACCAGATGATCTTCCACCATCCTGGGTTCCCGCAGACGTATGGGTCTGATCCTTCCACGGTCGAGAAGGCTGAAAAGGTTGTTCGGAGTAGAAAAACCGAAGTTGCATCTACAGGGATTAGTAGGCATATTTTGGGATCAAAGTCGTTCGGTAGGGTTATGCATTATGCATGATTTGGTAAGAATACATTCTCTATCAAATAATAACTAATTGCAAAAATAAAAAAATACGAAACTTTTCGATTTTGAACAAAAAAACCGTTTTTTGGAGTTAAAAAATACTAAACTATTCTAAGATTGTTATATTAAACAATTGGAATTGTTTTTACCAAAAAATAAAAAACAATTGGAATTGACGTAACTTAGTGGTGTGCCAACGTGGGGTACGGATTGTGTTTTTTTATAATGCCACGTTTGTATCTGTTGGTTTAGTGCTCTATGATGTACTGATTATGAGCTTTGTTCAGATACATTCGATGTATTGATACTTTCTATGTGATTTTATGAGAGTATTTTATTCATTACATGTTCTTGCATGCTAGATCTGTTATGAAATCCATGTATCATTAGGAATGATACTAAACTCCCTAGTCTTATGTCGTTATGGGAATAACGACATAATAAGACTAGTATGATGTGTGATTGATGATCACATAGATGATCATAGGTATTGGATACGATCACGATCATAGGTATTCGTTGGAGAACGGAATACTGGATTGACCCACATGAGATTGTCACATGGACTAGCGTCATGACTTGAATCTCATATGACGGTTCCATGATTGGATCCTAAGACCTGAGATATCTACGGAATCCAACATGAGGAGTTGCGTGCTTTGATTACGTCAAACGTCCTGCGTAACAGGAGGACTATAAAGGCGTATATCAGGTACGAAACGAATCATGTACTGGATTGTAGATAGTCAAGACGGGATTTGTACCTCTCATAAAAGAGAGAGATATCGCTGGGCCCCTCGTGTGAGCAAGACTGTAGAAATGTGTGGCCGCACTATAGACGAACGTCGTCTATTTCAGACAGTCAAACTCAGTTAACGAGAAAGCAGTCGAATCAGATAAGGTGGCTGGTCCATGCCTTATGTTCGACATATGATATCGCGATACAAAAGGATCATCAGCCGGAATCATCACTGGTGTTCGTAAGATCACGAACCAACTCTATTCGAGATAGGTAGTCATAGTGTCTTGCTAGAGACCGCCTATGACTTGTATACCCGAAATAGGGATTTCAGGTTATACTGCTATGTCGAATGAGCCTACAGGGTCACACACGCAGGGAAGGACAAATGCACGAGAGAAAACGACGAAAAACCGAGACGGAAGGGGCTGGAACGGACGGACCAGAAAGTCCAGAACGGACGGTCCGCCCGACCAGACCGGACGGTCCACGTGAGCGGAACGTCCGTTCCACGTGCTGGAACGGA